TTATAGGTATTATTGAATACTGATCAATATGTTCCTTCAATTGTACTTCTATAGCCCTTTCGAGTACCTTCGATGAAGTTGGCAAGACACTTGGACGGAAATCTTTGAATTCAAATGAATTTGACTTTCAAACAATATTTTCACAACGGCTCCTTTCCAAAGTTCGGGAAACATATTATGAGTTAAACAAAAATTTATAATGTGTGTAATGTAAGGAACTATATGTGGACAGTTAGTATACAGAATCATTTTAAACAGAGAAAAGTATACTTTCTCTGTTGGAACAACACCGCTCACTAGGGTTAACCTCTCTGAAGAACATTCTCTGCAGAAAATATCAGCAGATACTTTGCCCTTTAGATCTTATTCTACTCTGTCATAGTAGCGGACTGGACTTGAGACGAGCTTCATAGTTGTTGAAACCCGAAAAATGATGTACCTTCGTCAGAGTTTGCATTTTGAAACCTCAAAAAAAAAAGAAATACGTTGACTGTTGGGTTTGAAATATCTACATAACAGAATGATAGTGAATGGAGACTGTGAAAGGGTTTGAATGGTCTGCGACCATGAGAGAGCAGGAGATGGGGCATTCCTTTTCAACGCAGCATCCCGAGAGGCGATGGACATGGTTTAGTTTTTGACAGTGAACGAGGTGATTACAACTTGGAGCTGGTTCAGCAAAAGCCCCACATTGAAGTCATTTTACTGCTGGGTTAGACATTCATAAGTCGAAGCCTGAAGACCTCAGATTATCAAAATACTTGACCTACCCTTTTTACAGGTTGTGTGGGCTGAAGTTGGAGTCTGAGAAGTTCATCATGACCTTCTAGGATGATGTATGTCCATGTCTATCGTTGTCATGTGATGTGTATGAAGGTTCCTGACATCAGTTGCAGTTCCTGTTGCAAGGCGCCTGATATCCTTATGCATTCACTGTCGGTATGTTCAGCATATTCGTCAAAATAATGAATTTCTTTGAGTATTCCTTCAACATCCCTACGGTATTGACAAAACACCGCGATTATCATTATTCAAGGAAATATTGATCATGAATATGGTTATTGGTTATTTTTTTCGGCTCGCCCTGAGTCAGAGTTTCGAGAAAGAGGTCCAAAAGGTGTAACCCTTTCGATAGAAAAATTATATTGACAATTTTTTAGAGAAAAACTTTGGAATAAAAAATGAAACCATCGATGAAACAGAAGAAGTATCATAAAAATCAAATTATCTAAAAGAACAATTCGTTTAGGCCAGTTTAAACTCACCTACACTGTAAGTTAATGGAGTGACACCCATCAGAAAACAAATACTTCCCTGGTTAATACCACGAAAGTTGTTGGATTATATTCGATAGGTGTCAGTGCAGGATTCTTCATAGAAGCAGTTCCTGCATATTCCACTGGCGATATAACTGCCGGAATCGACTTTAAATTATTGGAACACACTTGCAGACCGGTGTAGGGCTATTTGACCACTCGTCAGTGTACAGTGTAGGTGAGTTAAGACTAGCCTGAACGAATTGTTCGTTCAGATGATTTGATTTACAGCCAGTCTTCAAGTATGCCGCCTTATATATGTGAAGTTTTTGCCTTATACAAGGAATTGGGCAAATTTAGATATACCGTTGGTTACCTCGTTTACGGGGATGGGCGACGACAAATATGTTGTTTGTCGTTCGCTTCAGTCTAGTTCGAGAAATGATACTCTGAAAAGAATTCGATTTTCGATTATGGAAAATCGTCGACTTCATCTTGATGACAGACACTACCTTGCACTCATGAATGTGAAATCACATAAATCACAAAAATGTTATAATGTGGTTGATAATGTCTCTTGGAGAATGCAACTTTCATTTCGGATTTATGAAAAGGTGTCAACAGAGTGAAACTCTCTGGAGAAAATAAACTGAATGAAACATTGAAATAAATCAGAATGCTAGAAATACTCGGATCGACATATTTGGATGAGTACAAGAAATTGAAGAGAAAAATGAACAATGACCATGAACTCAAAAAAAATGTGAAGAACTCTGAGTCTAAGTTTTATATTGAGTGAAATGACAAGTATATGTAAACAGTATTATGCGTTTGCTTGATAAATTTTTATCAATAGTTTAAATTTATCTTCCTGCTTCCAGTTTATTGACAAATGTGCATGACGTATGAGTATACCATACTGAGGCGTTTTGGTATAGTTACATGACTATTGAGTGATAGATACAAGTTGAAAACATGTGGAGAGCATAGTTGATATCGGGAATATTAAAGAAAGTCCAATATGTAGTGATGTAAGTTGTGGTAGTGATTCACATCCCTGTTGTTTTCTTCATTATGCATTTTATTAATATTAAATTTGAAAGCTAGATGATAGGTACTAATACTCTGATATGACCATAAAGTAGTCAACTAATATGATTTAGAATTTGTATTACCTCTCTCGATACCTTGGAATTGAGTCCCATGTACAAACAATATTGATGTAGAAAATCAATTCTGCTGTTCTACTCGCACAAATGAAAATTAGTAACTAGGCATTGAGTAAATGAAATGAATCAGTAAACGCATATGGCCACTCCGCAGTATTACATGGATATTCCAAAACCGAAACAACGATAATGTTGGAAAACTAATTGTAGTTCAAGTGGTAGTCAATAGAAAATACATTTAAAAATTTTCCATTCAGTGTGATATACCCATTCATAATTTCGAAAGTCAGATGACATATATTTAAAAATATATTGCGATACCAGTGTGTCTTCATAATATGTTCGTCAGTAGCTGTTACGACTTCAATGAGACTGCTTGGTTACTGAGTACGAAACTGTTCTATTTTCTCCAGTACAGATAGACTGAAAATAGTATATCATACATATACACAATATGCCCTGAGACTGTGTTGAATCTTATTACAAGATTGTGAATTTGACCTTTGCTTGGTGAGAAATGACTCTTAGGAAAATTTTCAGTTTTTGTGAAACAAGTCGGTCTTGACGATGAAGCGAAATTCATTTTCAGATGATGTACTTACCCTTTATGTTCCTGATGAGTCAAACGGTTATTGAGAAAAGATGATGATGAAAAAATATGGCTCTATACAAAATTTAATGTAAATATAGTTAATTTGATCAAACGGCCAGTTTTTGAAGTTTAACATAACAGGTTGTGAATAGTGTTTCCGGGTTTGAAGGCCGTTGATTTATTGTATTTTTTCTTGACGTTTCGCTGGCACTAGTTAATATCTGAGTTAATATCTGACTGGATAATACGGCTGTGTAACGCGTATTTATGTTGACTCCTCAGGCAGTTTGGTGTGCTAATACCTGTACCTGGCTTAGTTAAATTATATAAAGCGTGTTCATGTTGATTCAGTTAGTGATAACACCTATACCTGGAATTGGTGAATTGTCAATAACGTTCACTGACCCTTTTCTACCTTCAGTCATCATTTGCCTGCCGTCATTCTTGAACTTTTAAGAATGGCCTGGTCTGCAATTTTTTTCATGCTCCTTCAGCCTTCTTGCCATGGATTTTTTGGTGATTTCAGCCGACCTGAGGCTTTGTTGTATTTTCATGGTGGGTTTGAAAACCGTTTCCCCAAGAGTTTTCCAATTCTGTTTGTGACCCTAGGGATATATGATAGATACGCGCGTGCAACTATCTGAGCGTTCTCCCCGTTTTGAGCATTAGAACTCTTTAGTGTCATATCATTGTTGATCTCGAGTACACTGTACCTGAGATCCGCAATCCATGATCAAAAATTCATTTCCAGCAGTTCGAGTACAATACCTGTAATCCATACCTGTCCAGCAGCATAAATACTGGCCCCGAACAACAAAGTTACCGGGCAGACGGTCCTCGATTGAAGACAAAATAATATTAACTTCTGTTTCTATATCAAGACACTCAATAACTTTCATATTCGTATAATTTCCTGGACCCGGATGTCACGCAGTTATAATTCATTCTAGTGAGATTTCAGAAATATTTCTACTTTGAAATATATGTAAATTTTAGAAGAAATTATAATTTTCACCTTTTTCACATGAATTTATTAGATGATATAATTTGTCTTATCTAATTGTCATTTATCACGTAATATTTTTTTCAATGAAAGGATACGTTTGTTATTGGTATGCATACTTCAACAGCAGATGTCTTTTATCACACTTGCACTAGAACTGTTTCAATTTTTCATGGTTTCAACACGGACGAACATATTTGAAACTGAATTCCATGACAGATGTCATACCGATGAATTGTATTTTAAACATATTCGGATCTTTCATCAAAAAATTCTTGTAACCATTGTGCCTCAGTGAAGAATCAAGCTATCTCAACTTAGTGACTTGTCTGATCATACTGACATAATTTTATGAATATTATTTATGAATTATTTTTATGAATTATACATTTTTTTGACGCTGTCAACCTCAATAACTGTAAGTTTGAAATTTATTTCGTAAATTTCAAAATTTAATTATTACCAATAAAACCTTCTTTAGCATTCTTCTGAAGATGATAACAAATATTATGGAAATATTGAAATAACTTGTATTACAAGAGTACACTTCCGGTCTTCTGTTCACCCAAAGATACTATCCAAGTTTCGTTATATATACCGCAATTAACGTATTATATATTTCTCCTTTTTTAACCGTACGTTGAGACTCAAACCATTATATTTATAAATTCTTCAAATTTGTCTGTGTATACGTGTTGACGATTAGTAATCATTCAGTTCCAATCTATATTGAATATTTCATATTTTGTTTGCTTTATACTATGGTATACTTCTGAGAGGTAGTTTCGTAACTTACCAACTTCTGAATTGAAATTTGAAAAAATGAGAAAGGTAATTTATGATACTCATATCATTGATAATTATATGTATACTTTCATGACACTACCTACTAATATCTTTATAAATTGGTGGAGCAATGTTACAAGATGCCAATAAAATACCCGCAAAATACGTTGAAGATAATTGAAATAATTACTTACATTGATATATTTAAGAAGACTGATAATAAGAACTCATTGTAAATTGCCATGGAGATAAATCGGCTTTCGTTGAACTCGGATGGAGCTTTCCTAACTACTATACACAGTCTAATTCCCCAAACCAGGAAAAGGACTTCCACTGAAACAAGAGAAATATTAAAGTAAATAATGGGAATCCACATCAAAAAATTCTGGAGGAATAAATGTATGAAAAATTTAAAAATGTCGAATAGATGTTGATGATTGTTTGTGTTTTCTGTGTAGAGAGTGTGCCATCGAAACTAATCCAGCAAGGTTGAAGATTTTGTGAAAATAAAAAAAAGTGTCGTACCCGTATACTTTAATTTTTTTTAAGGGCAAAACACCAGCACCACAAGAGAATCCTTAAGACGCTTTCAGAGCGGTGCCTGTGCGGAAGTAGCGATTCACATTATATTTGAATCGCTTTGGAAAAACGTTTTCAGGAAGTTTATTCCACATAAACGCAGGTGAAAGAGTTCTCAAACAGTGAAGTTCGAGATGTACTGAATTGAAACTCATAACGATGAGCAGTCACAGTCCGTCGAGTATTTCTGATATGTATCGCTTTTGATGGAATCAAATGTGCCAAGTCACTTGACCACCTCCCATGAAAGTATATAGAGAGATAAATCTCCAACCTTTCTTCGATGTTTCAGGCTATCAAGGTTGCACGTGATTTTCGCGTCTCCAATCAGGGGGATGGCTTTTTGTGGATGGAACCCAGCAACTTCAGGGTATGTTTGGAGCAGATTTTCATACATGAAAGCAATACTCCAAAGATGGTCTGATCTGAGCTTTATAAAGCATCAAAACTCACTAAGGTGTGTATAGTTTTCTGGTTCGGAACAGTGTTTCAAGCTTTTGAGAAGCAGCCTTTGCAATTCCAGTGACATGATTGTGTCAAGACATAATGGTGTCCTTCTTAACCCCCAACAAACTTATCGAAGCAGAAAGTGAAATTGTCTGACCTGACATCATTATATATCCAGTTTGGAGACATTTTTCTTCTCGGAAAAAATCGATGCCTGGGTTTTTGTCGCATTGAATTGAACCTGGTTACTGTCACCCCAATTCGAAATCACTTCTAGATCCTCATATGCAAGTCCCTGCTGCCTGTGAAGATGTGCCTCCGTAGCCGATGTTCTGGAATCCAAAGTGTTCTGTCATCAGCAAAGAAATATATTGAATTCTTGGTTCTTTCCAATAAGTCATTGATATACAAGGAAAAGAGGGTTGGAGATAATATGGATCCCTAGGAAATATCAGCATTGATGGTGAGAGTAATCGAGAGATATCCATCGATGGCCACTTGTAGGGAACGTTCTTTCAGGAAGCTGAAGAACCATACACAGAAATGATCCGAAAAGCCATAGCATCGAAATTTGATCAGCAAACCCTCTCTGCAAAAACTCCAGTTTCTGGAAACTGAAGAGCCATACACAAAAATGACCTGACAAGCCATAGCATCTAAGTTTGACCAGCAAACTCTCATGCCACCCACGGTCAAAGGCCTTAGAAATATCAAGCGCAACAGCTCTTGATTATCCATGTTTTCGTTTGCGTAATTCCAAATATGAGTGACACACGATAGACGATCGCCTGTTGATCTTTGTTTCCGATAGCCATATTGATGATTGCTCAAGATGTTCAAGCATTCCAAATATTTGAGGATATTGTGGTTAACGACTCTCTCGATTTTTTATATCACTAATAGCAAAGCGACTGGTCTATAGTTATTTTTCTTACTTTTTTTGAAAATGGGCTGAACGAGAGCAATCTTCCAATAAGAAGCAAAAACCCCTTTTTTGTAAGACAGGTTGGAAAGTCTGCAAAATACTGGTACGAGTTCATTTGGGCACTTTTAAAATACGATGATGAGCACTTCATCAGGGCCGGACGCCTTGTCGATATTGAGCTGTTTCAAAATTCGCCTGACTAGACGCTGTCAAAAATTATTTTTCGGCAATGTTGATTCTAGTGTGAGAATAGTGGGTGATGTCTTTCCCAGAATATCGACTGTGGAGTGGAAAGCAAATTGTTCAGCTAGTAGATTTGCTTTTGCTATGCTATTATTGCAATTGAACTATCCGCTTGTGTTAGTGGTGGAATTATGGATTTTGTGAAGTTCTGATTGACAGCTTCAGCTACCGACCAGGAGAATCTAGACCCGTTGGAATTGATAAGCAGTTTATCCCTAATTCTCTGATTGTGAAGTTCTTTGCTTTCAATTATTCTAAGTTTGCAGCTGTTTCGAGCACCAACAAACCTAGTTCGGTTTTCGGCACTGGGATTTTTGCGCCACTGCGGGTAGGCGAGATTTTTGGAGGTGACAGGTTGCTCGCAATTTTTGTTGAACCAAGGTTTGCCGTAAGAAGGTCGTTGCATTGGAAAAGGAATATATGCATCCATGAATGATAGAATAACTTCCGGGATTTCAGAAGCACAAGTTGATGAATCTTTAGAGTTGAAACAAACATCTAGCCAGGGAAAATTTCGGAAATAGTCTTGAAGATCCTCCCATTCAGCTGATCTGTATTGCCATACTTTGCGCGGCTAACATTTTTTGGTACTTTACCTAACACTGAAATGAGTTTGTGCTCAGAAGATCCCAATGGAGACCTCACGGTGACTGTGTGAATTTCTGGATTGGTTGTTAGGTATAGATCCAGAAGAACAGCATATTCATCATCACGGTCAGGAATCCTGATAATCTGAGTAGGTCCGCTGCTTATTGCAAAAGCCTCAGCTTCGCGACCTTGTTCGTCGATTATATTTGAAAATTGAAGTAACCAAATATCAACATTGTGGCACTGGGATGATTGATTTGCAGAAAGTCAATGGTGTTTGCAAGTGACGAGAATAGTGCCATATTGTACATCGCTAGGTGGTCGATAAACATAGCATATGAATTTGGTGATCTTCTCAATCCATCAACATCAAGTTCAGGGTGGAGTCGTTAAACAAAGGGAGTAAGAAGAGGCACGAAACTAGCCCTGAAGACTCTAAGGTTGGTGTTATAACGAAAGAACCGTCGCCTATCGAACTGATAGGCGTAGTGAAAATTTTTCATGAGAGTCCTGAAAAACAAAGCTTTCACATTGAAATGTTCAAATCATTTCTGTCCAGGGGTCTGTATATGTATATTCAAGTATTTCGATCAGATTCAGTATATCAGATAATGTCTTCAAGATGAGAGTCGAATCAAACACGATGTTATTTCAAAGTTTCAGCTTCCCTATATGAAATTAAACCGAATCTTCAATCTTGCTCTCGAAGATGATCACTTGGTGAATGAAACACATGTGGAGATGTTGAACATAACGGTTTGGTGTTGAGATAAAACTCCAGTTGAATTTATTACAAGAAGAATTGCTGATTATTGACAACTAGTAGTTCAAGATCATGGCTAGAAGTCCCTGCTTCTGAACGTACTTACCTACCTAACGTAGGACAGTCATTTTATACAATTGAGTATCTAATTGAAAATTTTCATCGTATATACCCCAGAATAAATATCCTCCACAAAAATAATAATACCTTATTTTTTCATCAAATCTTTAAATAAATCTTTTGACAATCAACTGATTGTTATACACTTCTCGTTTTCATCCACAGTACATTAAAAATTCCAACTCACTATGTTGAAAAAATATGGTAATTTTGAAAGGCAATAGAGAAATGAATGTTTTTTGTTTTTTGGTTTTGACATGTGAATAAAAAAAAAAGATTTAACAACTGGAATAAGTCTTGTAATTTTCGTCAATCCGGAACGGGACTTCTGTTGATCTACAATAAATAAAAATGGAATCAGAATAATAATTTCATCCTGAACTGAATGAAGTTCTGTCACCTGTTAACGTAACTCGTGCAAGTCAGTGAATGCAGCAATATTTGTCCCTATTCTCCTCCATTTATTATTTCCGTGAAAAAAACTGGGTTTTATCAAAGTGTCTCTCTTTTCTTGTGACATACAACGTAGAACTCTTTTCTCAGATTAGATGGGCATTTGATTTACGGATTCCAGACCCAGATTATTCCTACCTCGTTGACAATGCATACAGATGATAAATGTTATCACTCCAATTCTTTGAAAAATGTTGTTTTTCCAGTCTTCAACCAAAGTGAAAAGTATACTCATTCCAAATTGCAAATTAGGGTATTTGTTTTATCTTACAGTAGTATTCCTTTTCTTTGAGTGATTTATCACTCCTCAGAACATATTATTCAATAGGAGCTATAACTATAATACGTTTATTATTAAATGATCCCTTGCAAGAAGATATTCAAGGTCAAAGTTCAGTTTTCTGTTCACCAAGATATAACAAAAACTGTCTGCCACTTCAACGTTCTCACATATATAGGTAAGTAAAGGAAGAAGACAAACAAAAATCAATCTGAGTGACAACAAAGAAAACCATGAACAATCCGAGGTAAAACGCTATGAAAAGAGTGAAGGTACTGGTAATGAGTACTGATACTGATACTTTATGGAAATGAGTAAGTCTTGATTTTCTGAATAAGGCAAATGATTTCCTGAGGTGAATTATTCCGTGGATATCCAAATATTTGGCAGCATTCTATGAAAAACTAGTTTTGAACATTTCTTTCCTATGCCGTGGTATAGTAATGAAGAAGATTTGTTGAAAATTTAACTCATGTATGTTTCTTGTGAATGAAATTTTGCTGTAAATATCCTCAGGTAGATTATGTATTTCATCAGTTCAGACTTCCATTGTCTAATATAATCTCTGAAAAAAATTAATGAAGATTACCCGAAAATAACAATTCTATTAAACAATGAAACTGAAATTACAAAGAAATAACATTGAAGCAACAACCAAAGAAAAAAATAATTATGAAAGCTGGAAATTGAAAAATATTATTAACAAAAAATGAAAAAAAAAATTAAAAGATTTCAAACCAAGTTTCGTCACGACGTTTCGATTGTTAGTATCTTCGGGTGATAACTGGACTAATTTCTCCGAGATCTGACTATTTATACCTAGGTCATTCGAGTGCTTTCACCTATCCCCTCTTCCCTCTCACCGCTTCATTGGTTTTAGCGGGAGATGACCGTTTGGCGTTGTTAGACAACGCATTCAGTCAAGCT